TTTTGCCATACCAACAAGGGGACACATTAACTCAAAGTAAAAAAGCATTTATTTAATTAAACAATGCAGAATTTAGTTTAAATTTAACTTTAAATTAAATTTAAACAACACAGAAAAAATTATACATATAGGGAAGGGTACACTCTACCACAGATTACCATTATACCAGTGGAGAGGAAACCAATTTAGGGAGCTTGTGGGGAGAACAGATACACCTGGGAACCACAAAAGATCATGGTGACAACTAAGGAGAAAGCAACATGAAAAGCTGTGGTCATTCTCACTCTTGGGGTGGCCTCCTTGATGTCGTCCTTGTCTGCCTCTGGTGCTTCTCGTAGCTGCTACCCCTCCATGGAATCACTGATGGCCCTCAGCTGGCCCAGTAATGTCATCAAGCTGTAAGCTGCTGTGCTCTGCTGATGAGACTTCACTGTTAGGTCATTCTTACACTTGTTGGCTGGTTTTCCTTGTCCAAGCTGCTCTATGCTTCCATCTTCTGGCCTTCTTTGGAATTTCAACTACTCTATGTCTTTCAAAACCCTCAAGGGAAGAGTTTTCAAGTCATTTTCAATCTTGGCAAGATCTACCTTTTTTGATGACTTAAACCATCAAACTTCAACTAGTCTGATGGCCAAAAAAGTCATAAAATTTAAGTTCAATCTGTCTTTGGAACTCCTTTGACTCTATCTAAGCTGCCCCTCTAAGAGTTTAGCTCCTTTTACTTTGAGAAAATTATTTTTAGCTTTTTCCAAGTTTGTGATGCCCACCATAGTCCATGCAAATCACCGTCCTGGGAGCTTCTGTTAGCAAGACAGAAGGGGCAAGGCAGGGGTGGTGACTTTTTGTTCTGAATTCCCATCAGCATTAAAAAAAGAAAGAAAAAGTCTGTTCTTATATTTTAAAAAGATGGACTGGAATATTAATAATAGCTAACATTTGTATAGAGCTTAAAAGTTTGTGAGTGTTTTACAAATTTCTCATTTAGCCCTCACAATAATCCTGTGTGAGAGAGGCTATGATCATTCCCATTTTGTAGATGAGGAAGCTGTGACCCAGAGAAGTTAACTGATTTGCCCAGCCTCGTATAGCTAGTAAGTGTGTGACTCGGGATTCAAACTCAGGTCTTCCCAACTCCAAGCCTAACACTAGAGCTACCACACTACTTAGCTGCCTCAGCATCACAAAAGAAAAAGAAAAAATACAAAGAATGAAAAGAAATGTGAAAGACATATGAAGACCAGCAGAAGCAGAGCAGTGTATTGAATGGAATTATATTACCATATAATAGAATTTTAGAGTTGGAAGAGATATCAGTCATCAAATCTAACCCATACCTGAATAGGAATAGAGGTGCCTATAGTCTTCTTCAAACATGAAGTCCCCTTTTTAATTTCAAAAAGTTTTGCAGAGCCTCACCCAATAGAATCAGTACTACTAGTATTCATTGATTTGAGAAAATACATGATGGCATAAGACTACTATTCTTTTAAATGAATTAGCATCTGAGTAATCATTATATCTACCTACAGTAAAAAACAAAAACAAAACTCCCCAGTAATACATGTATATGTAGATTTACTATTTATTTAGTCTACAGGAGGTTTATTTACTAATTTGCTATACTGAGTCATGCTGCATATTTTGTTGGAGCAAAATAAAGACTGAAGTGAAGGTGGGTAGTGAATATGCACAGATCTTTTGCAATAACTTCTTCCATAACTGCTCTCCCCTCTTCCCCTCCTCCCCACTTTGCCTAGGGTTCTCAGTCTACAGCTTGGGAACCAATCAGTCAATAAGCATTATTAGGCACCTACTATGTGTCAGGCATTTTAGCTCTAGTCTGTTAGGCTAGAATGGCTAGACCCTCTCTCTGAGAAAGGCAGCCTGATAGTTCTTGAGTCATGGCCAGCATAGCAAACTAATAGAAGTCAGGTGGTGCCCTTCTAAGGGTGAGATTAAGACTTTTGGACCCCTGTGTCTTGGTAGAGCTTGTAACCCTCTCTTCCAATCAACTGTCACACTGACATTCTCCAATTTTTTTCTGGTTTAGCATGTAAATGAATTTGAGCTAGAACAAAAAGGTAAGGTAAGCTAAGGAGGCCATGTCACTTGTGTCACTTATTGTTTGCCATTTATTCATTCTGCACTCCTCCCTTTACTATGCATATCAGTCAGCAGCAAATCTTCTTCATTTTAGTGCTTTATTTTGACTATTGATAAGCCTCTGTTTCTCCTCATACTGTTAAAACTTATGCTTCCCCCCCCACCTCAGTCCTCATTCTTCTAGCTTTGACAGCTTTTGATGTTGTAACCACCGCCTGCTCCTGGATACTCTCTCCTTCTTTGGCTCCCCTGTGTTCAGTCCTGTTTTCCCATTATGGGTCTGGTTGCCCTTTTCAGTTTCCTTCATCAGGTCACCACCCATCTCCTGTCCACTAGCTATGGATTTCCCCCAGGGTTCTGTTTTGATCCCTTGGCTCTTCTCTGTCTATATTCTCTTAGTGAATGGTATAATCAAGAGATATTGTAGGTGGATATCAAGAAATATTGTCAATGGATATCAAGGGATATTGTCAAGGTAGAATTAATAAAGTATGGCAGCTGATCAGATTGGGGAAGGGAGAGAGAAGGGTTAAATAGAGGTTTTGAGCCAGGGTTATTGAGAGGATAGTAAAACTATCACTAGAAGTAAGAATGTTAGAATGAGTGGCGATTTAAGTCGAGATATGATAAGCTTAGTTTTGGACATGTTAACTTTGAGATACCAGTGGCGATCCAGATGAGAAAGCAGACAGTTGCAAATGTGAGAGTAGAACTCAGGGAAGAGAATAGAGCTCGATGTATACATTTGGGACTTAGCATATGCATAGAAGCACCAATTGAAATCATGGAAATAGATGAGCTTGCCAAGGGAGAAAGTATAGAGCTTGAAGGGAAGAATGCTGAGGAGAGAGCCTTAAGGGAAATTCACATTTAGAGTATGGAAGGAGAAGGTTGAACCTTCAAAGAAAAGCTAGAAGGGATGGTCAAGCAGGTCAGTAATATGGAAATCAAAGGAGTAGAGATGGGGCAGCATATAAGTTCTGGACTTGGAATAAGAAAAATGTTAGGTTCACATTCCTGCTTTGATGTTTATCAACTGTGTGTCTATATTTCCATCATAGAGTGGTTATAAGGGTCCAGTGAGATAATGGACATAAAGTACTAAATAAATGTCAATTATCATTATTATTTTTAAGGAAGGACTGACCAAAAATGTGGAATGCCTTTCTAACCCCAGCCTCTGCCCCAAGCTTTGGAGTTTTTGTGCTACTATTTTCAAAGATGGTTTTGGAGATCTGTAAGCTTTCAGTTCTTCCAAAGTGGTATGATCTAAGGAGAGGTGTGTTTACTACTCTCCTGGCCTGTGCTCTGGTCTGTGAGTGATCATAAGCACCCTTTTCTGCCCTGGAACTGTAACCATGATCCCACTCCCTTGCATCTACAAGTTCTGGTATGCTAGTTCTCCTCCTCACCCTAGGACTCCCACCAAGGACTACAACCCAGATGCAAGTATGAGCAATGCGACAGAATCCTGCACCCAGTGTCAGCAAAGGGACCCCTATAATCTCCTTCTGACCAGTTGTATGACCCCTTTACCATTTGTACATTTGCTGATTTCCAAGGTGTAAATACTCATACTAAAAAATTTAACAGTCAGCTCTCTTGAGCCCCTTGGAGGCTGTAAGACAATAAAATATTATAACCTGCCCCTCTGCCTTGTCCTCTTATTGCTTTGAATTTCTGTTTTGTTTCTCCCGAGGTAATGGTTCAGGAAAAGAGATAGAGAGGAACAGAAGCCAATAGTCACTCCTCTTTCCTCATCCACCTGGCACATAGTAGATGCTTAATAAATATTTATTGATTGATCTACCTTAGACTTCAACTCAGTTCAATTTAAAACATTTTTCAATCCTGATATGGCAAATGTACAAATGGTAAAGGGGTCATACAACTGGTCAGAAGGAGATTATAGGGGTCCCTTTGCTGACACTGGGTGCAGGATTCTGTCGCATTGCTCATACTTGCATCTGGGTTGTAGTCCTTGGTGGGAGTCCTAGGGTGAGGAGGAGAACTAGCATACCAGAACTTGTAGATGCAAGGGAGTGGGATCATGGTTACAGTTCCAGGGCAGAAAAGGGTGCTTATGATCACTCACAGACCAGAGCACAGGCCAGGAGAGTAGTAAACACACCTCTCCTTAGATCATACCACTTTGGAAGAACTGAAAGCTTACAGATCTCCAAAACCATCTTTGAAAATAGTAGCACAAAAACTCCAAAGCTTGGGACAGTGCCTCCTCCACCCTGGGAACAGAGCCCAACTTTAATACAAAATTAAAAGTCAAGAAATGGGCTGTAAAAATGAGCAAATAATCAAAAGAAAATCTTGACCATAGAAAGTTACTATGTTGACAGGGAAGATCAAAACACAAACTCAGAAAAAGATAACAAAGTCAAAACTGCTACATTCAAAGCCTCAGATTAAAAATGTGAATTGGTCTCAGACCAATTCCTGGAAGAACTCAAAAAAGATTATAAAAAATCAAATAAGAGAGGCAGAGGAAAAATTGGGAAAAAACATGACCGTGATGCAAGAAAATCATGAAAAAAGAGTCAACAGCTTAGTAAAGGAGGCACAAAAATGCTAGAGAAAATAATTTGAAAAGCACAGTAGGCCAAATGGTAGAAGAGGCATACACATCCAATGAAGAGAATGCCTTAAAAACAGAGTCAGCCAAATGGAAAAGGAGGTACAAAAGCTCACTGAAGAAAATAATTACTTAAAAATTAGAATTGGGCAAGTGACTAATGACTCCATGCAACATTAAGAAACAATAAAGCAAAAATGTGAAATATCTCTTTGGGGAGATAATTTAAGAATTATTGGACCACCTGAAAGTAGTTCAATCAAAAAATAAATAAATAAAGGAACCTCCCCCAAAGGAAATCAGCCAATGCTACAAATAATGACTGGATTTATTGTTATGTTGATTGTCAAGACTTAACACAGTGTTGAAGATAATACTAATAGTGAAGATTAAACTTGAAAATGCAGCATGGGTTTTCAGAGAGTGGGTTGTTAAATATTTACCAGCACACCTGGCTCCAGCATCTGGCGATGCATATGGTACTTAAGAACTTGGTGAGATATGAAATCTCTATACTTAGTACCCTGGGCTGAACTAGGAGCATCAGGACCCTCCATCAAGAGGAGGAGAGGTAGGGGGATATCTCGGATAGCTCCAATTTGTTCAACTCTTCTACTTTTCCAGTGTATCCATTACTCTGAGGATAGAAAAAGTTAAGAAAATGAACAAACTCAATATCTGACCATGATCCCTTCTTCATGAAACCTTGTCTTTTTTCCCTCTTGAAATTTTCATACTCCCTCTAATGCCTTCCAACCCATACACCCACTTCATATGACCAGGCAGGGCTCTTAATCCCTGGGAAAGGCACAGTAGTAGTACCATGACATCATGTCTAACTGTCATCTCAATTCAATTAACATCCCATTACTGCCCTAGGACCTTAATCCCATTCTGTCCTGGCAACCCCCAGTCTGTCCCTTTTCCACTGAACCCAGATCCATCCATAAAACAGCTAATTGTGATGAGACTTCATAATATCTAACATTTATATAGTGCTTACTACATTTTATGTACTGTATTAAATGCTTTACAATTACCATCTCATTTGATCCTCAAAACAATTCTGTTGGGGTAAGAGCTTTCCTAGCTTTTAGGATAGCTAAAATGTATCCCCCTTTTAGGGTTGAAGAAACTGAGGCAAGCAGAGGTTAATTGACTTGCCTAGGGTCATATAACCAGTAACTGTTTAAGTCTGGATTTGAACTCAAGATTTCCAATCTCTAGTCCCAGTGCTTTATGTACTGTGCCATCTAGAAGCCTTACATACCCCTCATTTTAGTATGTCACTGTAGACTTTTCTGAATCTTTTTATTATTTCAGGGCTATCAGCAGTGTGGCTGTGGGGGTGAGGAGACTCTGGGAGTCTTTTGTTCCACTCTAAGGGCCAAGGGGGAAGGGGAAGAAAGCAAGTATTTATTAAATGCCTACTGTATGCCAGGCACTATGTTAAGCACTTGGCAAATATTATTTTGCGAAGTAGGTACTATTATTATCCCCATTTTATAGTTGAAGAAACTGAGGCAGACAGAAATTAAGTGTCTGAGGCTGGATTTGAACTCAAATCTTCCTGACTCCAGGCCCAGCACTCTATCCACTGTACCACCTAGCTGCCTCTAGTGCCTGTGGGAGTTACTTCCATCCTGGGATGGTGGAAAGGATATTCCTTGGTTTATTTCTAACTCAAGCCAAAGCCAAAACAGAGACAGTAGGGTGTAGTATAAAGAATACTGGACTTGATGTCAGGAATACCTGGGTTCAAATCCTGCCTCAGACTGTGTGACCCTGGGTAAATCATTACTTTATCTCTATCTGCTTCAGTCTCCTCAACTGTAAAATGAGGAATCTATGACCTCTGAGGTCCCTCTTGGCTCTAAATCTATAATGATCCTGCAATACCACCACTCACCTGGTTCTTGAACCTGAACAGAAGAACAAGAAGGACTAAGAAGGTCAGACCTTTTAGCAGGAGGAGGCCAAAGACCACAAGGAGGAGGAGACAGTTTGGGGACCTGGGAGGAGAAAATAGAGAAGATGGTGAAACATCTGTGAGGCCGAGACCTCTGGTACATTCCCTAGCTGTGAGGGTGCCTATGGTGGAGTCCTGGTCATGTCTTCCCTTTATACTTAAAAAGCAATTTATTCTGAACATACACACACACACACACACACACAGAGAGAGAGAGAGAGACAGAGAGACAGAGAGAGAGAGAGAGAAAATAAAAGAAAGAAAAAACATAAAAGGAAAGAAAAGGCAAAAAAGGATTTTTATATTGTGATATGATTATATCTACCAGCATTTCTACACTAGATGGTTCCCACTCTTCCCCGACATGTTTTTCCCTAAAAGGAAAAAGAAAATGTTCATTCATCTGATTTACCCTTGCTTTCCCAAGATAGATTTCTGGTCACCTAAGGTCATAAAATGGACATGATAGGGCAGTTGGTGGTGCAGTGAATAGTGCCAGCCCTAGACTCAGGAGGACCTAAGTTCAAATCTGGTCACAGACACTTACTAGATGTGTGACCCTGGGCAAGTCACTTCACCCTGTTTGTCTCAGTTTCTCATCTGTAAAAATGAATTGGAGAAAGAAATGGCAAACCAATGCAGTATTTTTGCCAAGAAAACCCCAAATTGGATTGCCAAGAGTCAGACATGACTGAAAATGACTGAACAGCAACATACAAAAGGCATTAAAAAGTCTCATCTAGGTGGGGTTAGGGTCTCTCAGACCCACTATGAGACCACTTGAATTGCCAAAACTTGTGCTAACCTGCTGACCTTCAAATTTCTGTAAAGAGGTGAGGGAGGTCCCACATTCCCAAACTGAAGTTCAGTGTCACCCTATCCTTGTTCCATATGTATTAGGACAATAGAAACTTCCTTTTTGTTAACTTGTAAGTGCCTTATTTTATGCTAAAACTCAACCTGAACTAAGAGAGTGCTGACCTTAGTGCTGACATTAAGCCCTCCTCTAACACATATGTACAGAACAACACAAAAAAAAGAAGGTTGTATATAAAACTGTGAATCTTTATTTCTTGCTGAGTGTTTTTTAAAAAAAAGTATATAATAAATTCCCCATGTTACTTTCATATCTGTTCTGTTGGTTTGTGGTTCCTTCTATTACTTTCTATCTACTCAGTATACATCTTGTAGGTACCTAATTACTTACATGTTGTTTGTCCTAATAGAATATGAGCTCCTTGAGGACAAGGATTATGTTTGCCTTTCTTTGTATCCATATCTCTTAGCATGGTGCCTAGTGCGTGGTAAGTACTTATTAAATGCAGGTTGAATGATTGATAAAGCTTGAGTAGGCTTTCTAATATGGAGATAAGTGGGCCATGCTCCTTATAGGACAGCACTTTGCATGACACAGATGGCTGCTTATCAAAAACTCTTTGGTGGAATCATGGTCCATTAGATTGTGAACTCCTTGAGGGTAGGGATTATCTTCTACCTCTTTTTGTATCCCCGGGACTTAGCACAGTGCCTGGCACATAATTGGTGCTTAATTGCTTGATTGATGACCTAACTTGGTAGCTCCTCTGTGACCTGAGACTGAGCTGATGATGTATGTGTCTTCCTTAGGGTACCTTATTTTCCTACTGTACATGGGACTAGAAGGAGCACCCAGAAATCTTGACCAATATTAATGTTTCAGCAAATCTTAGGACTAGAGCACAACATCATATTCATGGAGGAGTGTGACCCCCTTCAAATCCACCCCTCCAAAAAAAAAAAAAACAACAAGCAAATAATAAGCAAAACCACCTCATACAACCAATGAACATTGTGTGGTCCAATCAACAGAACCCAGGACTTCTTTAGGTAATGCAAAAGCTGTGTCCTTAGCAGGGTCCATGCCTGCTATCCCTTTTTATCTAATTTGGGTGGCCACCCAGTGGTTCAGGAAGTCCTACAATCCAACACCCTAACCATAGCCACATCTACATACACATCAGCTGAAGACTCCTATGAGATGATCAGAGAGCACGTGAAGGTAGGCTGTAAGGTACAGTTGTCCACAAAGAAACTCCAGTCTCATTGATCCACCTGAAAACTGGTGGCCCCTTCCTCATTACCCAGATAGCATGCTTCTAACTGGAAATAACCTGAGGGTTTTTCCCTACCTCCAAGTTTCACTGCCTCTAGTCTAGTAAGCTAGTGAGTATGCAGCCTTGCTCTTCCTCCTTGCCTACAAACCCGAAACCACAGTCACATGTGATGGTGCTTTTTAATTATCAGGCATTTTTTAAAACATATTATAAACTTAAATACAAAATAAGAAAAGAAAAAAATAGCATCGCCATGTGCACAGCAGAATGTAAGAGAAGATTCAAAATATACAGCAATATACTTCCATTTCAAGAAAGCCTATATAATAAATACTATATTGAGAGCTGTCCATCTTTTCTTTGCTTACTTGTAAGTTTTCTTTTCTTCTCTGCTGTGCACTTTTTACTTTGTTCTTTTTTCCCTATAACTCCCCACCCCAGGCTACAATTAAGCACAGATGTATATCATATACATATACATATACCCACACATACACATATACATATAATACACATACAGAAAAATTTTTAAAGCTCATGAAGATTGTCCTTAGCCCTGGTGTAGTGAAGAGAATGCTGCTGTTGAAAGCAGAAGACCTGGGTTTAAATGCAGACTTTGCCAGTTAGTACTCATGTAATAAACCTCTTAACCTTTCTGAGCCTTTATTTTTCCCATGAAGCATTTGGATAAGAGCAGAGTTTTTCACCTTTTTTTGAGTCATGGACCCCTTTGGCAGTCTGGTGAAGCCTATGAATCCCTTCTCAGAATAATGTTTTTAAGTAATTGAAGGAAATATTAAATTTCAGTTAGAAGCTAGTGAAAATTAAAATGTATTTTTTTTCTAGCCAAGTTCACAAATCCCCTGAAATTCATCCATGGATCTCGTGTTAAACCCCTGGATCAGATTGCCTCTATGGTCTCTTCCTATTCTAAAATCCTATTTTCCCATGATACTACTTGGTCATTGAATTTTATGTGATCCATCCTGGTCTTCATCTTGTGCCTTCCAAGGGTTATGGATCTCTAATCTTTCTAGACACAGTTCATGGGCAGAGAAAAGAGGAGGGGGATCTTCAGAGAAACATCCTTAGACACAGGTTAATTCTCCCATTCTATTGCATGATTCTTTCTCAGAAATCTGACTGACTCAAGTTCAGGGGAAAATTTTTCAAAAGAAGGAAGGAGAGAAAAAGGAATAATGGAGAAAAGAAAAGAAACAGAAATGAGATGTTCTACCAATGTTCTTTCCATTCTTGCTGTTGCTTCCTAAGACCTAGCCCATCAGGGAAGGGTTAGGAAACCATACGTTCTTGTTGTTGGGTTGTGTCCAACTCTGTGACCTCATTTGGGGTTTTCTTGGCAAAGATATGGGAGTGGTTTGTCACTTCCTTCTCCAGCTCATTTTACAGATGAGGAACTGAGGCAAGCAGGGTTAAGTGACTTGCCCAGGGTCACAAAGATAATAAGTGTCTGAGGTTAGATTTGAACTCAGGTACTCCTGACTCCAGGCCCAGCACTCTATCCATTGAGCAACCTAGCTGCCCCATACATCAATATTGTTAATTACAAAACTACCTCAGCAGCCTCCTAGTAAACAGTCAGGTAACAAGCATTTAGTAAGCACCTACTATGTACCAAGTGCTGTGCTAAATTCTGGTGATACAAAGGAAGACAAGAGACAATTCTTGCCCTCAAGGTGTTCCTAGTCTAATGGGAGACAATGTTCAAACAGTTACATGCCACAGATAGCATAAATTGGAGATAACCTCAGAGGGAAGGCACTAAGAGGGCTGGGGAAGGTTTTTTTTTTTTTTTTTTTTTTTTTTTACAAAAAGTGAGACAGAAGTAAGTCAGGGAAGTGAAGAAATAGAGGTGAGGAAGAGAGCTCCAGGTGATGGTGGTGTCAGAGGAGAGAGGGGGGCTTATATGAGGAGACATTATGAAGGTAGAAGTAATAGGACTCTCCAACAGATTGGATGTGGAAAGATGAGAGAGAGTGAGAGTTGAGGCAAGAGAGGTATATTAAAGATATAAGTAGAAGGAGATTATTATAATTTTGGGGGAGGGAGGTAATTGGGGTTAAGTGACTTGCCCAGGGTCACAAAGCTAGTAAGTGCCCGAGGCTGGATTTGAATTCAGGTCCTCCCAACTCCAGGGCCAATGCTTTTTCCACAATACCACCTAGCTGCCCAGAAGTAGGTTATTTTGAAGAACTAGGTGGTACAATGGATGAAATCCTAGCTCAGGTGCTTACTAATAGTTTGACCCTTGGCAGGCACAGGCTCATAAATATTTTACTACTTGTTCTCCAAGAAAAGCAAAAAATGACATGCCGTACTTTTAAGTTTAATCAACATCATTAACGTTTTCACCGTTACTTTCTTGTCTAGACAATCAACAAAACAATAACTGAAGTGTAAATAAATGCTCACACTGAAAATTTAATAATCAGCTTTTGTTTGCTTGAGCTGACTCCAGCTGGGGCTTTAGCTGATACCTAACCTCGATATTTCCTTATCTTTGCCAAGAAAAACAGAAAAAGCATGGTACGCTTATAATATAATATAATATATATATATATATAACATATATATATATATATTATACTATAAAGTGGGGATAATAATAGCACCTACCTCACAGGGTTGTTGTAATAGCCAAATGAGATAACTCGTGAAAAAAGTGTTTTGTAAACTTTAAAGTGCTTTGGAAATATGAGCTATTCCTACCTGGTGAGAATCATCCTAATACAAAGCAGCCTAGCATCAAAACCCAAAGGAGCCCCCTTAGCTCACTAGATATATAATGCCTTATCCTTAGGGTTCTCACACAGAGCTTTTCATGTACATCTGCATGTAGGAGTTCTATGTTGACACAACCAAGGGGACCCTGAGCTAAGTTTTATTTGAGAAAAGACAAGTTATTCCTCAGATGTTTCCAGGGGCTCCCCCAAGAATGCTGAAGCTCCTCTGATGATTCTGTCATATAGGTTGGACTATAAGCCTATCCACTAACTTGCAGAGCTAGAAGTTGGTTTGTGGACCCCTTAAATACATTCTATGTACTGAGCGTGGATTGCCTTTGGCATTATTAGGTGTTGATGAAGTTGTGGGAAAACTTTTAGATTCTGTTAGTGATGAATTGGCTTGAGTGGAAGTGGTAGAGACCCTTACTAAACAATGTACCAGCAACAAAAACTTTCTCACTTCAGGTCTGGGATGAGTGCACTTTCGTTTGGCTGTCTCCAGAATGGCTGTTAGGGAAAGGGTGGAGCGGAGTGAATAGGGGGAGAGTGTGATAGGCAGCCCAAGCTGAAATCTGCTGAATGGATCACAGAATGGCAAAAGCAGTTAAAATCTGTAAAGCACCTGAAGACATCCTCTAGTTCAACTGTCTCATTTTTGTAGATGAGCAAAATGAGGCCTAGATAGGTGAAGTGATTTGACCGAAGTCACACAAGTAGTAAGGGACAAGTCTGGTCATCTAATACCAAATAAGGTGCCTTTTTCATATTGCCTGCTATAACAGGTGTCTTGTCAAAGGGGACTACTTATATTGGACTGGGTCAATGCATGCAATTCAGCTAAAATCAAGAGTCAGAAATGAAACTGGAGAGGGAATCACAAATACTGCACAGTAAGGGGGCCCTAACTGGAACCATTTACCTCAGGTCCCCAGAGCCTACATGATCCATAATCTGACTTCTAGAAGTAGAATTTTCTGGTAGCTGGACATCTGTGTACATCAAATATGTCATATCAGTTATGTTGAACTAGGGCCTGAAAAATATCAGGGCACGGATAAGTCAATCAATAAACATTTATTAAGTGCGTACTATGTGCCAGGCATTATACTAAGTGCTAGGGATGCAAATACAAAAAAGATTGTTTCTGCCCTCAAGGAGCTTACAATCTAATGAGGGAAGACCACACAGAAAAGGAAACTGAAAAGGTGAGGGATAGGAAAGAGAAGGTGGGGAATGATGGACAAATTCAAAGGAGTGCCGTGGGGTGGGAAATGAAGACATGACTGGCATGGGTCTCTTCCTTAAATGGAGGTTATGGGAAAAGCTGTCTACTTTGAATCTTTAAATCAGAGGGAGGGAAGGGCCCTGGAGCAGAGCATACTGATGAAATATGAGCACCAGGGTTAATGTAATCTTGCAGGATAATGAAGTTCTTGAGGGATGTTCACATCTAAGGCAGTACAACCAGATAGAGAATTGGGAGATAAAAAGAAATCAGACTGCAGGTCACATATATTTGAAGACAAGAGGAAAAAATGGGAAGGCTGCTTCGCTGAGGCCCGCCTGAGCTCTGGGCTGAGTCAGAATATCTCACAAGGACCACAGTGCGGTAGCTGTGAACTGTGGAGTAGCCTCCATAGTTCTCTTGACTCACAGGTCAAGAGGGTCAGTGAGGTTGGGAACAGGCCAGGTATGCGCAGGCTGGAGTCTAAGGAAGCCTGGTACTGTGGGGAAGTCTCTGGATAAGTGGAGGATAGAGCACACACACAGACTTCTGGGGAGGCAGAGGAGAGGGTGGGGTGTCACAGGACAGAGGGTGTTTCTGGAGAGGAGTTTTACCTCTTGGTGGTAGAGATGATGGCGATAGCTTCTATCATGGTAGTTAATTCCTGCTGGGTTGTCCTCTGTGTTGGGGCTGCAAAGAGAAGACAAAGGGATAGACAGTTGGCACCTCCCTACCCAATTGCCAATTGCCAAAGTCTTAGACTTTGCCCTGACCTGTGGGATAATCAGAATGAGGGCACAATATAAAGTCAAATGTTCCTTATTAATATGTGATATTATTCAAGGAATTATATCAAACCTCATTAATGATCAATTCTCTCCCCTTCCATTTTATCTTCTCTTTCTCTAGTTGTCACTATCCTTTAATTGATCCATTATCCTTGGCACTAAGGCCATTGACAACCAACATGATCATAGCGTAAGGAGAAAGAGCTTGTCTTAGCGGAAAGGTCTTCACTGAAAAGGGAAATAAGAGGAAAGAGAAGGTGAGGAATGATGGATAAAGCCAAAGGAGTGCTGCAGGATGGGAAATAAAGGGATGGCTGGCGTAGGTGACCTCCTTAAATGGAGGTTCTTGGAGGAGCTGTCCATTTTCCACTTTTCAATCTGAGGGAGGAAGGACACCCAGGACAGAGGGTACTAATGATGTGTGAGCACCAGGGGTGATGTAATCCAAGGGAATTTACATCCAACAACTGGTCTTGCCACTAAATTGCTGTATGTACTTGGACAATTGGCTCATCTCTAAGATCCAGTTTGCTTCTTTGAAATGAGAATGTTGAACTAAAAGACATATGAAATCAGACTGATTGCCATGATCAACATTGATGCCATAGAATCAGTAACAAAAAATTTCCCTCTTCTAGATGGCAGCTAGGTGGTATAGTAGATAGTGTACTGGGCCTGGAGTCAGAAAGACCTGAGTTCAAATCCAGCCTCAGATAACTGGCTGTGTAACCCTGGGCATAACCTCTGTCTGCTTTAATTTCTTCATCTCTAAAATGAAGGGTCTCTAACATCCAGGGTTGTTGTGAGGATCAAATAAGAGAATATTTATAAAGTGCTTAGCACAGTGCCTGAAGCAGAGGAGGTGCTTAATAAACGTATTTTCTTCCTTTTTCCTTGGGATTAGAGGTGATGGGCTAAGGTCAGCAATGTTTCATATGCTATCGACTGAGTCAGTTATTGATTCTACTTTATTTTTTTTTAATAAGGAAGGTTTCTGTGAGTATGGTTGTTGTTGTGTTCAATTGTTTCAATCATGTCCCACTCTTTGTTTTCTTAGGAAAAATACTGGAGTGGTTTGCCATTTCCTTCTCCAACTCATTTTACAGAAGAGGAAACTTAGGCAAACAGGGTTAAGTGACTTGCCCGGAGTCACACAGCTAGTAAGTGTCTGAGGCTGGATAAACTCATGAAGATGAATCTTCCAGACTGCAGGCCAGGCACCCTAGCTCCCAATCCTTATAGGATGGGGGTGGGGGCTAATTAAGAAATAACTGTTGTATTAAAAAAAGACAAAAATATTTTTTAAAATAAAAAATTAAAAGAAAGGGTTGAACCAGCTAATCCTTAAGGGATCTCCCAGTTTTAACATTCTACTACAAGACTATGATGCACCAATGATCAAAATTTTGAATTAAATGGTGAAACTCATGAATATATGACCCATAGGATCATAGATTTAGAGTCAAAAGGGATCTCAGAGGTAATCGAGTTCAACATTTTTTTTTTAATACTGGAGGAGATTGAAGACTAGAGAGGTTAATTCATTGCCTAAGGTCACTCAGGTAGTAACTGCCAGACCTGGGCATCAAACCCAGATCCTCTGACTTCAAGTGTTGCATTCTTTCCCCTGATACCCATGAGACATCTCAACTTTGCTAATTAGAATGGCAGCAGAAAAGGTGAGGGACAGTGATTATAATGGTATCTATGCAGTTGCCTTGGTTGATATGTTGGTTTCTTTTGCTGAACTGTTTTTTTTTTGTCCCTATACATTCCTATACACATCATAGTCCCGTAACCCCCTCCTCTCCCTACCAATGTCGCCTCTATTCTCTGACATTCACCTTCTACCATTCTGATCACACATGGCAAAAGGGAACTAAGAAACTTAAAATCAGAGGATCATATATCTAGGGCAAGGGTTTTTAAGCTTTTTTGATTTTGCTAAAGCACTGGTCTGACAGTATCACCTCCATTCTCAGTAAGATCCAGTAGCTCCCTATCACCTCCAGGATCAAATACAAAAGCCTTTGTTTGATATTCAAAGCACTCAATAACCTACCTCCCCCACTTTTCCAGTCTTCTTACACCTTGTAACAGACCTGCACAACTTGGCAGTAGGCACAGGCCAAAATTAAAATAGGCTAAACTTCTTCAGGCCGCAGATGGGTTTTTAGCAGCTCACTTTCCAAGTAAAGGTATAATTATTGATTAACCTATTTTGCAAATAAACCATATTTCAAAAAGGAAAATTTCAATTAATATGAATTAATTACATTTATTACTTAAGATTTGTATTTATCATGAAATCACATTAATGTTTAAAAATTTACTTTGCTAAGCAGTACAAGTTTGAATACATTTTTTAGGTTTTCTTACTGTTTACATTTAGTTAATGGGACATATTACACATCTTGTCAGCAATCAGTTTATCATACTCCAGAATCATGTTTGAAATCGATTTCTTTAGAAATCTGAAAACTAACCTTAGTAGCTGCCTCATTTTTTGAGTTTACTTTCTTGAAAAACCATTGTTCCCCACTGAGATTTTGCAACTATTTAGATGCTTTAATTTATTTTTCACTGGTGTCCAACTTACTTAAGTCAGGATGTTTTGAATCAAAATGGCAATGAAGATTGTATTCCTTCAGAACAGATATTACTTCTCAGCAAACAAGGCACAATATTTTCTCTCTTACTCCAGATTAAACATTATGTTCTGATTCAATCTTCCATTTCTTTTTATCATCCATTTTACAAAGTTATCCCCAAAACTGTTAGAATCAGAGGCAGCTAGATGGCACAGTGGATAGAGCACTGGTCCTGGAGTTAGGAGGACTTGAGTTCAAATCTGGTCTCAGACACATGATACTCACTAGCTGTGTGACCCTGGGCAAGTCACTTAACCCCAATTGCCTCTCAAAAAAACCCCAAAACTGTTAGAACCAAAAAATCTCCACAGCAACTGCTCACATACAAAGAAATACTGAACTGAGTGTCTAGACCCTTTGGACAGTCTAGTGAAGCCTATGGAGCCCTTCTCAGAATAATATTTTTAAATGCATAAAATAAAATTATAAGTAAAACTAATTGAAAAGACAGTTTATATATATATATATATATATGTATGTATATACATTTGATATGTTCATGAAGGATGTCAGATTAAGAATCCCTGATCTTGAGGTGGAAAATAACCTTAGAGACCACTTGGTACAATGCTTTATTTGATAGCTGAGGGAACTGAGGTCCAAGAAAGTTAAGAGATAGGTAGTGTCAAAATCACATTAGGACACACCTAGGATGAACTTCTTAATATCCCAACTAAGTTCTCAGGAGCTAACACTCCAGAGGTGACATCATCCTGGACATGTCCTTATAATATATATATGTACACACACACAAATATATATACATACATACATATACGTATATATATGCTATAACCATGGCTCACATTTATGTAATGCTTTCCAATTACAACAAACAAAACAAAAACTTAACACAATCACATTTGATCCTCACAACAAGTACATGGGATTGGTTGTGAATGTCTATTATTCCCCTTTATAGATGAGGAAAACAGAAGCTTGGAAAGATAATATCACTTGCTCAAGTTTGCACAATGGTTAGTAGGTGTCAGAGGTGAGAATTGGTTCATGTTGTCTTACTCCTGAGCTGGAGCTCTTCCTCTTACACTGCCTCTAAGACTGTGCTATATCATGGAAATGTAGGGAGAATTACTTTGGGATCGTGATAGTCAGGAATGAATCTAAGAATCTATTGAGACATTTCCTCAGGTTACAGCGGAGCTGGGAAGGATGTGGAAGAGGGACATTTGGTAGATTCAAGATCTGATTGAGTCTCTGCCTTTGGGTCTAATTTATCTTTGTAGAGAGAGAAGAAAAGCAGAGTCAAATCAGTGCCCAGAACTGCAAACTTCAGCCAATGTCTGGCATGGGAACCATGAACCACCTCACAAGCCCTATGTTGAGAGGCTGCTTGTCCTTTGAAAGTATTTCAGCCACTACCAGACATATAGGAACAACATTAGGGGTGTTACCTTCAACATGTTGGGGTCTGGGGATTCCCCAAAATGTCTGTCATTGAGTTTTGGGGGTCTCCCTGCTCCAAAGTGCTTGCTGTAGCTGGTGTCCAGCATAAATACAAACCAGTATCTGCTACAATATCTAACTATGCAGTTTTTAGCCTCCATTACCAGTTCCTGAGATTATAGGAAATCAAAATGGTGAAGCACATTTCTGTTTTTGTGTACACTTGTGTGTGTGTGCACATGTGCATTTGCACATGTGTGTGATGTTGGACACCAAGTCCAGTGATCCACTAGTCAGAAAAAGGACTGGCAAGGAAGGAAGTGGCTTACCTTTCACGGAGATAGAAGACCAAGCTATGGAAGAGCTGATGGAAATGTGAGAGGGCAGGTGCTATGTGTATGTGGTCAAGGTTGTGAGTGTGGGGGGTGATTAAAGTACTTTAAAAAGGACATGAAGCTTCAAGAAAGCCCTGTTCTCAGGGAAGGAACTTACCTGGAGCTACTGTTAGGTGAACTTTCTTGAAAACATCAATAACATTTGCACTAGAATTGTGGTTTCCACACCAATATTCCCCAGAGTCTTCCACCCGGAGGTCAGACATGTTGATCGAGATGACATTAGTGTTATAACTGAGGGAGTAGCGTCGGTCCTCAGTCTTTGACCGAGATCGTGGTCTTGTGATTAACAAAGTACATGTAGTTGCATTTACTATCTTTTTACACCAGGCTTTGTCCAGATGATCAGGTTTCTGAGGTGTATACTGGCAGCTCACTGTGAGTGTCTCCCCAACTACTCTGTGCTTGTCTTCATAGACTTCTTTTCCAAGGGAGCCTGCAGAATACAACCTCAGGTCACCAGGGGCTCAGTTGGACAACAAGCATCCTTCCTCAAGTAGGAAACAAGGAGTAGAGGGAACATTTCTATAGAATGCCAACAAAACCCAGTAGGAAGACACAAAAAGTGAAATTCCATTCAAAATAACCCCACAGAGAATCACAGGTGGTAAAACAGACAATTTTGATTACAATTTTTAAAAAATTTTGCACAAACAAAACCAATGCTGATAGAATTGAAGCAAATTAATGGGAAAGACTCTTTGCAGGAAGTTTCTCTCATAAAGGTCTTATTTCTAAGATTATATAGGAAACTGATCCAAATTTATAAGAATAAACCATTCCCCAATTGATAAATGGTCAAAGGATATGAATAGACAGTTTTAAGGGGAAGAAAGCCAAGGTATCACTAGCCATATTTTAAAAATGCTTTAAGTGACTAATAATTAAGAGAATACAAATTAAAACAATTCTGAGAAATATAGAGACAATGTTAACAACAACTATGGATCTGGGGAGAATGAATGACAAAAGCCAAACAACAACAATAACAAAGAAGGATAGAGAAAATCACAGAAAATAGAGTGGGTAATTTTGAGTCCATAAAATTAAAGTGTTTCTATGAACAAAACCAAGATGACTAAAATCCAAAGAGAAATAGTTAACTGGGAAAAATTCATATAATCATTTTCTTTTCTAGGGGGTGAAGTGGACAGAATACTAGTTTTAGAATCAGGAAGGCCTCAGTTCAAATCTGGCCTCAGATACGGGCTAGCTATGTGATCCTGGTCAAGTAAGTCACTTGACCTTGACCTGCCTCAGTTTCCTCATCTGTAAAATGAGGATAATAATAGCATCTACCTCTCAGGGTTGTTGTGAGTTTAAAATGAGATAATGTTTGTAAAGCACCTAGCAAACCTTAAAATGCTACATAAAATGCTAACTATTATTGTTATCACCATCATTATTATTTCTAGGATATAGAAGGAATTGATTTTAATTTATAAGAATGAATAATTCCTCAATTAATAAATGGTCTAAGGAAATGAATAGTCAATTTTCAAAGGAAAAGGTTCAGACCATTCAACAATCATATGAAAAAAACTCTCCCTATCACTAATAATTAGAAAAATACAAATTAAAGCAACTTTGAGGTTCTACCTCACACGATGAGAGTGGCAAAACTGACAAAAAGGGAAAGTGATAAATGTTGAAGGAGCTGCAGGAAAATAGGGAACAATAAATTATGGTTGCTAGAATTGTGAATTGATCATGTCATTCTAAGTAGTGCAGTGGATGGAGGGCTGGGCCTAGAGTCAGGAAGATGTATCTTCCTGAGTTCAAAGCTGGCCTGAGATACTTACTAACTGTGACTCTGGGCAAGTCACTTAACTCTGTTTGCCTCAGTTTCCTCATCTGTAAAATGAACTGGAGAAGGAAATGGCAAATCACTCCAGTATCTCTGCCAAGGAAACCCCAAATAGGTCACAAAGAGTCATATATGACTGAAAAATGACTGAATAACAACACATCATTCTGGAAAGTAATTTAGAACTATGTCTTAAATTGCAGCTTTACTCCTAAAGGGATCAAAGAAAGAAGAAAAGGATCCATACCAACAAAAATATTCATAACAGCTCTTTTTGCATTGTGGCAAAAAACTGGAAACTAAGGAGTACTCATTAATTGGAAAATGGATGAGCGAATTATGGTATATGAATATATTGTGGCAGCATTATGCCATAAGAAATGACAAAAGTGGTGGTTTGAGAGGAAGACATATTAACTGACGTAGAATGAAGTGAGCAGGATCAGAACAATTTATATAATAACAACAACATTTTAAAGAAAAAAAACTTTGAAAGAAATAATAATAATGATAGCTAGTATTTATATAACACCTTAAGGTTTATGCATAATGAGCTGGAGAAGGAAATGGTAAACCACTCCAGTGGTTTGTCAATGAAACCCTAAATGGGGTCACAAAGAATCAGATGTGACTGAAATGTCTGAACAACAGCAAATACTTTATAAAAACTATCTCATTTTATCTTCACAACAACCCTGGGAGGTCTTGTCATCCTCATTTTACAGATGAAGGAACTGAGGCATACAGTAGTAAAATGACTTGCCCAGGGTCACAGATAATAAGTTCTGAAATCATATTTGAACTCAGATCTTCCTGATTCCAGGCCTGGCACTCTACCCACGGTACTACCTAGCTGCCTCATCAATGCTCTAACTAACCATGATCCCAGGACACCTTCAGTGAAGCATACTACCCCCCTCCTGATAGAGAATTAATGGATTCAAGATGCAAAATGAGACATATATTTTTGGTGATGGTCAATGTGGGATTTTGTTTTGCTTGACTGCATATGTTACAACTGTTTTCTCTCTCTCTCTCTCTCTCTCTCTCTCTCTGTCTCTCTCCCCTCTCTCTTTCCCTCTCTCTCCCTCTCTCTCTTTCTCTTTCTCTCTCTGTTTCTTTCTTTTCAATTGGGAAGGGAGAGAAAACAAATAGAATAATATAATATGCGTAATATATGTCATATGTCATGTAATATATCATAATCTATTATAATCAAATAGATAAACATAATAAATGTTGACAGGGAAAAAGACTTAAAAAAACAAAATAACTATGGAAATACTTAGGAGTCTGCTTAAAGAAAATTAAAGCATGTTAATTGAAAAAGGTAAAAGATAGTAAAATAAAGGGAACCTGGGTTCTTCAGAAAGTAGTCTCTCTTATACCAGCACTGTCATACCCTAAATATGTCTCCCAAGACCCCATTCCTGTCCTGGGGGGCCAAGCCTTGTCTACCTGTTAATATACCATCTGTGTAGCATCCCTCACCATCCTCTTCTCCTCTCCTGTCCCTTCCCATCTCCCCAGCTCATCTTGTCTCTACTCTCCTGTTACTCTCTTTTCCTCCTTACCCCTCTCATATGAAACCCATAGAAGCAGCAGCAGCAACTGAAGAAGGACCTCTGGGGTCATCTTGCTTCTTTCCATGATCAGAGGTTCAAGGGACAGAGGAAGCCTCCAAGTACGTCTGGGAGAGTTGAAAAGAACAGCTGAGGACTGATTGCTCTCGTGGCTCTTTCTGAATCCCAGAAACAAAAGAAGAACTTACATCCTATTTGGGGAAGTGGGTAAAGTAATAAGTAGAAGTGCTGGACTCAGAAGGGAGGGGTTGGAGAGCCTTGAGGTTGGGCTCTAGAGCCCTGTGGATCACCAGAAGATGTCTTGTTTTGGCAAAGCTTGATCAGTTTCTTACATAACAATTATTATCCCTCCCCCCCACCAAAGCAAGACACCAGGAGGACCTAGTTGGGTATGAGTGTTGTTATCGGTGAAGGTATGTAGATGGGTTTTTGGGAGTAGGATGAGAGGTATCTAGGATGGATGGCAGCCATCTCAACAACAGGAAAGGTGAAGATGAAGTCACAGCATGTAGGTGGGATGCTTCCTGGAAATACTCACTCTTCCCTTCATATTCCTACCTAGTACCTCTCCATTCACAAGAAGGAAATAAAGTAGCAGTAATGCAGTTGTCCCTCAAATCTGTTGAAAATGTCCCTACCATAACTTGGTGTCTCTCATAATAATAAAAACATAACAATGATATGATTGATGATGACGACTAGCATAATAATTAGGCCCTTATTGACCAGTCCCTGTTACATTTATGCAGCAGTTTAAGATTGGCATAGAATTTTCCAGAATATAACTTCCTTGAGAGTAGGGATTATTTCAGTCTCTTTTGCTATAGCCTATCAGGTGCTTAATGACTTGATAGATTGTTTAATTGTTGCTATTCACCTACCTGTACATACCACTATGTGTCTGATTTTTAGAGTAGAGTGTTTATTTTTTAAAGAATTTACTCCTTGAATAGAAATGGAGCCTTCCTTGGACCTACCTGAAATGACTTACTGCATCTATACCAAGATACCATAGTGGAGATGAAAGAGGAATTATAATAATTTTATCATAGCTAATATTTATTTAGCATCTTCTATGTGCTAAGCACTATGTTAAATGCCTCACAAAGGTTTTCTCATTTGGTCCTCACAACAATAGTGTAAGATAGGTGCTATTATCATTGCCATTTTTTAGATGAGGAAACTGAGGCAAGCAAGGGATAAAGTGACTTGTCCAGGGTCACACAGCGAGCAAATATCTGAGGCTGTATTTGAACTCAGATCTTCCCTACTCCATGCCCAGTGTTCTAAATACTGGGCCACCTTAGATCACATGACACATTGCTGGAGCTTGAGTTTCTGTTTATAAAGAAAATAATTTGCAAAATTAAATTTGAACTATAGAAAGGTAGATGGAGATTTTCCTTTTTGGCCTCGGTTTTTGCCAGAATTTAGCTATTTGGCAACTTCTCTCTTGAAATGTTAACATTTGGTAACGTTTGATTTACCTTTTGGATGCATCAAAGAACAAATTATGGCTGTTTCTAAGCCATCTACACTATTCTTTTAAGCAATTTTTCATAATTTAGAAGAGTCTATTTTAATCTTTTTGCTCATTAAAATTATCCCTATGCGAAAATGTCAAATAGCTCTTTCTAGTAAATAAAAAAGTGATTACCTACCACTACTGACCTCTTACCCAACCCTTTCTGTTCTTTCCCCAGGCCAGCAGAAACCATTTGAAGGAAGTTACACGTACATAGAGAAGTAGGGGTTAGGGCAAGGCAGGGAGCAGTCCTGATGTCTGTTAATTTCTATCAATTTTCCAAGTAGGGTCCCCAAGGGTGTATATGAGGCAGGGGACCCCACAATCATCCTAGAGGCATCAGTCAGACACATGGATTCAATTAAATTCAGTCTGTTCAGTTCAATTCAATTCAGAGTTGTTTACTATAGTTCATTTCAATTCAAGAAACGTGAACTGTGGAATCACAATATCACAGAATTGAAGATTTGGAAGGGATGTTCAGGATCAACTTGTCCAACCTACCACCAAAGGAATCCCCACTATAACATTCCTTACAAATGGTCAATTCAAGCTCTGCTTGAAGACCTCCAAGGAGAAGAAACATACCACATTCAAGTCTAATCAACTTTGGGATAACTAATTCTTAGGAGATCAATGGCCCACACCTGTGGTAAGGGTGGAGTGTAGTTGAAGGGAGAGAATCAGTCTCTGGACTTCTTGGGGGAAGGCTCTCCAGTTTCTTTGTACTAGGCAGTCACTTCAGGTGCTTCTGGCTTCTGACTTCAAGAGAGAAAATGGATAATGCCAAATCCACTTCAGGTTACTTAATGAAAATAAGACTCAGGGAAAAAGCCTTCATGAGAGGAGCCAACAGTCTCCATCATGTCCCTATCCCCAGCTTGCAACTCTAGAGACTTTGGGGAATTTTCCCTTTTGGGTAAGATCTGGGACTCTCTCTTTCAGTTGAGCAGAGTTATCTCACTCTCAGTGGCACAGCTCCTTCACTCTGTATTGTTTGGCATATATTATCATGTATATACTTTCTCTGATTTCTGTTTTGCTATCAACTTGGATAAATAGATTTCTTTACTGCTTCCTATGTGTGTTTATTGTGGAACTGGTATTTGGTAGGAAGGGATATAAAGTTTGGGATCCTCCTTTCCCCATTAAGAAACAGTGGTCAGGGGAAGGGAGGGGGAGAAAAATTTAAAACTCAAAAGCTTATGGAAGTGATTGTTGAAAACTAAAAATTAATTAATTAATAAAAAATAAATAAAAATAAAAAGTATAAACTAGGAAAAGAAAGAAACAGTGATCAGAAGTTTAGCTTGAACCTAAAAACCACATCCCCTAGACCAGGGTGGGGAACCTGTAGCCTTGAGGCTGCGTGTGGCCTTGTAGATTATCCTTCTTATTAAAAGGATTTGTTCTGTAAAATTTGGATTCAGTCAAAAGGCTGCACTTAAGAATCTAGAAGGACACATGTGGCCTCAAGGCCACAGGTTCCTCTCCCCTGCCCTAAACTAGTGATATTTAAGGGAGCAAATAGATATAATGCTAGCCCAGTACCCCTTTCTTTGAGGGGGGCAAAGTAGTCAAGCTTGTGGCCTTAACCTCCTGCTTCCCCTCCTGTTAGGAAATAAAGTCTCTCTTGGATAAGGGTGAAGGGAGAAGAGACTAGAGATATCTATTCTACCTCCCTTTGAGTCATACAACACCCCCATCCTACATGTGGAATATCTGACATTGAGCCTAAATTAGACTCTTTGCAATTTCCATCCATTGCTCCTGGTTCTGTCCTCCAGGGTCAAATAGAATAAATCTAAATCAATCTCCACATGACATTTCTTCAAATACTTGGAGACAGTCATCATATCCCCTGGAGTCTTCTTTGTCCAGGGTAAACATGTCCCATTCCTTCAACTGACCCACATATGTGAGAGACTCAAGGCTCTTCGCCACCCCGGTTACCCTCCTCTGGGCATTCTCCAGATTAACAATGTCCTTCTTAAGGCCAGAAATGAACATAATGCTTCAGGTGAGATCTGAGGAGGACAGGGCATAGTGATGCTCTCACATCCCTATTTCTGGATATTGTGTCACTTTTAACGTAGCCCAAGATTGCGTTAGCTTTTATGGCATCTCACATTGAGCTTGCCACCCACTAAAGTCCCTAGAACTTTTTCAGAATGATTGCTATTAATTTACATCTCCTCCATTTTATACTTATAACCAAGTATAAGACTTTACATCTTTCCCTGTTGAATTTCATCATATTAAATCCAGTCCAATGCTCTAACCTGATGAGATTCTTTCAGATTATGACTCTTTCATCTAGTATTTGTAGGATGTATCCCTCCCAGCTTTGTGTCATCTACAAATCTGATGACTATGCCTTCTATGCCTTTATCAAAGTCATTGATAAAAATGTTCAATAGTCCAGGGCTATTTCTGGGTTGGGCCTGACCAGGTAGTTTAGAAACTAAGATTGAAACAAAATGAGATATTTATAGAGAATGACCTACGGTGTTAACCAAAGGATAATTATGAAGCCATAGCAGGAGAAGGCTATTTAACAGGGATAGGCATTCAGAGCCCTTTGAGGTGATTGAGCAAAGTGAAGCTCCCTTCAAGACCCATTAGCTAAACATGTGAAAACCCCTCTAGCTTCCTGTGACTCCTTTGTACTCAGGATATGAGGAATTCAGTCAGCTGATAAACATTTATTTTTTTTACTTTCTTTAGGCAATTGGGGTTAAGTGACTTGCCCAGGGTCACACAGCTAGTAAGTGTCAAGTGTTTGGTTCGAGGCTGGATTTGAACTCAGGAACTCCGACTTCAGGGCTGGTGCTCTATCCACTGTGCCACCTAGCTGCCTCATGATCAATATTTATTAAACACCTACTCCATACTGGCTCTGTGCTATGTACTGAGGATACAAATACCAAAAATAAAAACAGTCCTTGCTCTTAAGAGGCTTGCAATCTAATGGGGGAAGGCAATACACAAAGGAAGCTGAAAAGGGGGGGGGTACCCATAGCTGCAATAAGGTGGAATCTGGGCATCCAAGCAATTCTAAATCTATTTGACTGCATAATTGTCCAATTCATATCTCTCCATCTTCTCCAAAAGTGTAGAGACTTTATTAAGAGACTTGCTAAAATTCTAGGTAAACTGCAGCCACATCATTCCCCTCATCTACTGGTCTAGTAATCCTATTAAGAAAGGAAATGAGGTTTGTCTGGCATAACCTGTTCTTGATGAACTGGCCCTTCGTAATCACTGCTTCTCTTTCTAGATGTTTGTTTAGCATCTCTTTAATGATCCATCATAAAATTTCCCCAGGAATCAAAGTAGGGTTCATTGCTTTATAGTTTGCAGACTGTTCAATTCCCTTTTTGGAAAATCAGGAAAGCATTCAGCCTTCTCCAGTCTTGTGCCTCTCCTCTCGTTTTCTGTGATCCTTCAAATATCACTAAAAATAACATCTTCCTGTTCTTTCAGAACTTCCACAGATCATAGAACTTTACCTTGAGCCAAACCAGCATAAGATTTTTAATTTCCATACTAGTCAACCATGTCTGGGACAGGACCATTCATTATCATAACCCCTGATGGTCTAATTTGAACAATTTAAGGAGAAGGATGGAAAGA